AAGGAAACCGTTCTTTTACAAAGTATCCAGTTTGAATGTGCAAGAGAATTCGAAGGCGCCGGTCGACCAGCGACCAGGGTAGAGCGACCAGCCCGAATGTTTACAATAACAGGAGCAAGCGATATCGTGCCCGAGGAGTGCGACGACGCCACGCGCATCGTAAATCAACCTTCGAGGCCCTTGGCGAGGCGCATTTGGCGACACAGCTAAAAAAAAAGGGGCTTTCCCGTCGGAAAGCCAGTCTTGGTTAGGCAGTCATACCGTGGACACCTAAGCAAGTCACCCACGCTTTACTGAATAAAAGTACATTCGCATCAAACACGTCTCAATCTTTTAATCCATCTTACAAATGTCAAGTTCCCTTGCTAAAATATTTCTTTTCAAATAAATTTCAATTACATTCGTAATACGTAGAAGTTGAATGAACAAAACTGACAGAATTTGCAAGATTTTCAGTTTGATGCTACCGTTCTACACAAAGCACAAGATAGTTCTAATCTCGACCGCGCTTGATCGCTGTAACTCGATCCCTCGATCGCGGGATTTCGATTTTGATATCGAACCGCCCGCTACTGCGGTTACCGAGTGTCCGATTCACTTGCTTCGAGTACCGTCACGCGATAGGAAACTGAGGTTTACGGCAACTATTTTTTTTTTCGGCGTTCTACACAGCTAACGAGATTTTTTTTCCGCCGACACTTGTTCCTCTGTTATTCTATCCCATTCATATTCCTATAAAATAAATGTTACCGTAAAGTACTGTTTTCAAACGACGACGTTTCCTAGCTTAAAGAAAGTATACGAAAAAATATGTGTAATTTTAGAGTTTCCTTTGGTTCGAGCAAGGGATCAATGGTAGAAACTCTGGTATACGAGACACCTGTCCAAGAAGAGCCGGAGATCAATCGTTTCATGGACCACAACGGACGCATACCTTCTATGATCACACCTGTACCTGATACCGAGTAAGTAAACACTTTTTCGCTCTACGCTTTGCCTATGCGTGCGTGCCGGAATTTGTCACGTCGTCTGACATGTTAAGTACCGGTATAGAATTCTCAAACACTTTTTCGTTCTTTTAACAACTCCGTGTTGACCAAAACACATGGATCGTTGCGGTACGAAGACCAGCTGGATAATACAGCTTTTCACATTTTTACATAAGTCGTCGCAAACATTTGACGTTCTCATTTGACACTTTGTTGGAACGGTAGAAGATGCGATTGAATTTTGGAGCATATCGTATCTCTCGTGTTTTGCATTCCGTGGGTAAAGTAGGAGTCGGTCGTCGCTGGAATTGTAGTTTGGTAATTTAGACACCACCACCCACGCGCGTTCCTCCTAATAGACTTCTACTTATCGCCTGGTACGATCATTATCGCGTTTGATCCGGTTAAACGACGAAGCTCACGCACGGAATGCTTAATGTCTGCTTTCGACAACGTTACCCTGTCGCCTTTAGAATCAAGTTTCACTTTTAACGCGTATAAACAGTTTCACGTGGATTTCTTTTTTCTTCTCCAATTTATCGCGACATCTCGCGCACCCTGTTCCCTGTCGTAACGATGAAATATTACAGCCAGAGGTATTTGACATATTCATACGACGAGTAATCCTTTAAGCGAAAAGTAGTACATTGACGCAAAAGGTAACGATATTGACATCATTCTCGAGGTTTTAAAATACGTTCCTACTGCCTCGGGATAAGGCATGATGTCATCCGAAGAATTTGCACATGGGAAAATACAAATTTATACCTGCGTACCTCGTAATGTATACCGGTAGGCCGCATATATTTCTTCGAATAAGTATGCGAATAAAAAAAGCACGACATCTAACGCTATCGCCTTCGAATTACCGATGAATTTTTTAAACGGAGCAAAAGACTACGTGCCGTTTACAACGAGCGCATATCGGAGTAAAAGTGTAATAATGAAAAGGTAACTTAAGATTTTGAGGGGAAAAAAAAAAAACTGTATCGATGAAAAGCCCAAGTGAAAAGAGAAAAGTACGCGAATTGGAGTTGGCTACGCATCGAACGAAACACACATTGACGAGTATATACGCGTCGAAGAATTTCGACGTTTCGCGCAAGCGACAACAGAGCGCAGCACTGCCGTAGTTTCCCCTGCGCGATATCGGCTTGGCCGTTCAGTGTGTAGCGTGACCAGGTGGAGCAAGGGAAGTCCATAAACGCAGGCGTGGTGCCCAGGATTTACGATCGATTTCGCGACTCGTACGGTTCGCCCGAGGAGTGGAAGTTTTAGTTGGTGTGGTGCTCGGGCATCGGTCAGCAACGTCGTGGTGCGTTTTCGCGAGTGTCCGTACCGCGCGTTACCGAGAGTGATATATACCGGTTGAACTCGATCGAAGAGAAAGGGAAAAAGTATTTGCATGCCAGGAGTATTTACAGGAGCTTCTCGTCATTGTTCCCGAGCCACGGCCACGGGAAGCTGACGGATTCTCATCTGTCAGGTAGGCGTTTTCCTTTCGCGTAACTGGTCGTTTAGTAAACAGACAGTGGCGTGCAACGGTTGATTCGGTAGTAAAGCATGGGCTTCACGCGAGAGGTAGAATCGTATTGCGATGAATACTTTGCGTATTGCGTCGATTGTTCGAACGTGATCGCGTCGAAAGAATCTGGCTCCCTTCGTTTCCTAACTATTTTAAGAGCAACGACGAGAGATTAGTCGCGTGCATTATTGCGCGTCCCGCGCGCTTTCAGTTTTACGCGTCGGTACAACGTTCAGTCGTTGTATCGTGCGCTACGATGGATTCTTCTTGAACAGGGCCATAAACCGAACCAACTAATGCGATAAAAGGGGAAAAAGGCGGAGGCGAGAGTGTAGTAAGATCGGCGTTACGGGGGGAGAAAATGCAAAAGAGACGAAACCACTGCTCTGGCTAGTTACCATGGCGACGAGCCATCTTGACACACTACCGACCCTTTCTTTCGAACCTTTGGATTTTCCTTTTGTTGAACCGGTATACCTCCACTCGAGCAGGTAACGTTTTCGCGTTAACCTACTATCCTTCCCTCTCAACGTTCTCATCTCGTGTAAGAATTAGCCTGGTTTTTTCCCAAGTAGCCGTTCTTTCAATTATATCTCCAACTTTTCCATATGGTAATTAGAAAAATAAATTTCGCCGCATCGGAGGAACTGCTTTCTAAATTATTCCTCTGGTTTCACTCGTAAAATATCTGGTTTATTAAACTTGTGCCTCGTTGAAGAAATCGAGCATCGCGTACTGGTACGTTCTTAAGGCGTTATCGCCGATTGAAATGAAGTTGAATCTTACACTCGCGAAGATAGTGACGTTATCTTTCGTTACTTGGCTATCGTTATTTTTCTAATACATTTCTATGCTTCATCTGTATTGCAAAGTTTCGCGTACAAACTTATAAATGCAATTGAAATCTTTCGTTATGCCGATTTCACAAAAATATCCAATATATAGGTAGGTATATATGTAGAAAACGTGGCGATGTAAAAGTCAGGTTTCGCAACGCGTTCGGTGTATTATAAAAATCACTCGTCCCGAATGTTGTGCAACAATCGAACGTTTTTAGGCTTTCACGGGCCCCAGGTTCCGATCGTTTGTACTCTGCGCGCACTTTCGTAACGGATATAAATTTAAAGCGCGATATCGAAGCTCTACTCGGTCGGGCATGACCGGTGTGTCTAATTGCTATCACGTTTTACGGATTGAAAAGAACGGTTCTTTTCGTTGTTCCTCCGATCTCGCGACGATTCGTGAAAAGAATCGATCGGGAGGTGGGGGGAGTGTGCGTGCACGCGAGCCGGGACAAGCCGAACACAGCCGGTTTCCAACGATAAATTCCTTCCAGTTATGAATACAAATTGAAGCGGCGTGTGTGGGAGTCGCAGAAACTCTCGGCGATCCCGTTTGACTTTTCACACAGTGGTCTCGTCGCGCATAACCGGTCACATACGCTGCGTATATATCGTTACATAAATTCCTACGAACGTAAGGAGTTAAAAATACGCGACGGAACATGAGAGCAGGGACGAAACAGGCGTGTGCTGCTCCAAAATGGAAAACACCGAGTTAATCTCCGATTGGCTCTCTCCGAGCCGATAATTCGCAGCCGCGTGACGAATCCGGAATATTTACCGAGATAATCGTCCGCAGTTCGAAACCTTCTTCTACTCGACTTTCCAAACGTTTCCACGATTTTTGGCAAAGAGCACACCGCGTGGTGTACATATCCCGTCTCTATTTCCGATTCGATTTTCTCTCTGGAAACGTATAGATTTTCCACGGCATCGCTGACCGTTCCCATTTCGAACGAGCATAGAGTGCTAGACCACGCAGGGTTATAGACGCAGTGGCGCCCACGTATACACCGACTATCCGCCCCTTTGCTCGTCCCAATGATCGATGCCATTACTCTCGAGTATCGTTTCGACGCAGGAGACGCTCGTCCACGGAACTGGGTTAAAATTTCATTAACCGCGCTCTTCGATCCTTCCCTACCTAATTGGTTCGTTCTTCGTTAGTCGACGTTTCACCGACTGAGTCGGCGAATTGCTAGGTGGATTACGAAGTCGTGTAAACTCAACCGGTTCGCATTAACATTTCCAGCGTTGCTTAAGAATAGACGAACCGAACGACTAATCCTACATTTCGCAATTTTCTTTTCTACCAACGATTAGAACTGATGGTTAATCGTTCTACCTAATAACATCGAATTACTTTCGCGACAATTGGTACAGTCGCAGTACTCTGTCGGTACAGAGGGTTCATAGATAGGATGTTTGTTCACACGTTGCTAGTTCGGCGGTAAATACGAGGAACGAGCGAGTTTCGGAGAAAACCATCGAGGCGGGATGATATCACGAGCTCAAGGTCTAAACTTTAAATCGTAGTACAGTAGGTGTTTAACTGCTGGATGACGTCATGCGGCACGCTACCGTAGCAAAACGCGGCTAAACGTGGGTGTCTGTATCGTAAACATACGTATTCTTCCCCTCTCGTCGTGTGTAGAATAATGTAACGCAAAGCTGGTACACGCGTGGTGCTCGACAGCGTGCAAATAGCGTGGGTCGATTCTCTCGTTGAACGCACGTAACACTCGTGCATTATCGTCGTAAGATCGATTTCTTCGTAACCGGCTGCATCGGGATGAAAAGTCGCGTGACCGTGGCACGGTGAAACCGGTTCTTCCAGCCAGACCTCGGCTTTGCTTCTCCATCCTTTCGGTTTCTTTCGTTCTTCTTGCGTGAAACTGCAACCTTCTCTTCTCTCTCTCCTTCATTTTCACTTGGACGAAAGTCCGGAGAGCCGGAGGAGAATGCGTTTATTGTGCAAGAGGGTGTCTCGTGAGGCAAACACATCAATGAGAACCATCTTCTTCAAGTTGTTGCGTTTCGTTGGCGTAATAGCAGAGGGTGTATTTATTTGTTGGTCGGTAACCGCGATAACGTTAAGCGTTGTTTCGATTATTCCACGGTGTTATCGCGGTTTCGATAGTAGAACCGCGTGCGTTCGTCCTTCTTGTGTAACGCACGGTACCAACTAATACTCGAGGACGTCCTATTTTCCCGGAGGTTTTATCGTCCGGCGATTGAAACGAAACCGATTTGTCGATGAACGGTTTACGCCGGTGGAACGTGCACAGGCGTAACTGCACGCGCGATTAAACGCGCATCGATACGAAATATGTGTGTTACTGCAGTAGTTTACGAGCGCCATGTGCATCCGGTAAAACCAACGTCCGCGCCAATTGACTAGAAAAAAGCTGTAGAAGGTAAAACCCTGGCATCTTTACTAGAATTTTACACGATCGAGTGTTTATTCTTAGACGGAACGCGTCTTTTCGTTCCCTTTTAACACGATCACTGCCACGTTGGTCACCTCTGACCGGAGATTGATTGGAGTAATTAAAATAAAACGAACATCGTCGGCTAAAAATGTCGAACGTCTTAGCAAACTAGACGTTATTTTGAATTTCAAAAAGAAATAACTTTGTAGCGACCCTCCTGCGCTCTACCACCAGAGGGAGGGACTAACCACAGGTTCTCGCTAGTACTCGCAAAGGCTCCTATTTGTATATATACACCTTCTGACCTGAGTTCATCCAGTCCCTCCCGCGTCTAAGGCACGGGTCTCCTAGAAAGCGAACGAGTCCCACTAATTATAGAAGGCCCAGGACGAAACGCCCCTAACTCCTTCTCCTACCTAGCTTCAAGTTCGCTAGAATAATTGAGGTAAAAATGTCTTAGGCCAAAAAAAAAAAATAATACAATATTATGGTTAGAATAATGAAAATTTTCTTGTGACCTCCTTGAGCATCCTGAAACATGTAAATTCTGGCGTGGCAGTGAACGTGTTAACCACTTTTTCTCACCGTAAACGGAGATTAAGATTCTCGTCTGTTTCTGTATAAAGTTTACAGCTGATCGATAACGAGAGGAACAAGGGAAGAAAAGTGAACGAAAGTTGTTAGTTTAACGGCGAAGTGTAAAGTGGGCAGGACCTGTAGAATTTTCCATCCGACGGAGTTTCGCCGTCGAAAAATATCGATTAAACACTTTCTCCGCAATCCGTGGGGGTGCCCCTTGAAAAGTGAGAGGATCACCGTTTACGCCACGGGGTGGTTTTTCACCGGAAAACCGAATACACTCTGCGTATATACAAGTTCGCTCACGACGAGATAAAGGGCGAAGATAAGTTGAAAGGACCAACTTGATTAATCATTTCCTTCCGGCAATCTTCGATCCTAAGCGAGAACGGCACAGGTTAACGAAGTGCAACAATCCTCGGTCGAACTTGACGACGTTTTGATTTTTCCGGTATGCTTTTATTATATCCGTTTGGTTATCCAATAATCTCGCAAATTGGCAAGTGTCGGCACACCCTTTGGCACTGTGCCATTCGTGCAACACGTGAGCCCAACGAAATATGTAGCGAACTATCGGCGAGTGCAACGTCACCGAAGAAGAAAGTTAGTCACGATGAGTCGGTGCATTGAAATCGTCGTTAGTGGAAGAAGAGCGCCGAGTTGAAATTTCGCTGTTTTCTAGTAGCTTCGTATTATACCTAGTATTTACAATTATCCGACGTTACTGATAGTTCTCGTAACGTTTGCTTTTTACAGCGAAGGTAGGGAAATGGTACGTGTGTCGTTGCTAGGTCCACAACCTTCACCGACAACACCCGGCGTATTTCAGGTGCAGTCTATCACGATATCGAGGACTCAACCGATCGACATGGACACCGTTCCGGCCGAACTCCTGACCACGCACACCGAGCACACAGCCCCCGCCTATCACACGCAAATCAGGTAAGCATTATCCTTCCTCTTCTCGCCTTTCACGCCTTTCACGCCTCGACAGTTCTATACGGCTCGCTCTGTATCTGTGGCAGTAATCGCGATTATCTCCTCCGATTGTAGTCGTACTCGGGAAGATTTCGACGATAATTCGATAAGAGCTAGTCGAGTGGCGAAATATCAAATTTCGTTCTGCAACAAGTAAAAAAAAATGAGAGATTGGAACGATTATTCATTTTTAAACCAAAGGAATACACAGCGTCATAGTTACGACAATAATAGCCTGTAAGCACCACTTGAAAAAAAGAATTTTAGTCAGGTATCCCAAAAAGTATTTATTCTGTATTCCTAAGCGATTCTTAAGGATTCCGGCGTCCGTCTCGATCGACGGCTATTTCCAGAGTGTCCTTTCCGCGTCGTATCCCACGTTGCTCCGAAAAACCGTTGGAGCCCCCTCGTTCGACTTAGATTATGGGACCCTCAGGTACCCGCGCGCTTTCTCTTCCTGGGTGACAAAGTTCAGGCCACCACTTCGCCGCCGGAATCTCGCATTTCTTACGATCCTCTCTCGAGCTTTTCTCGAAGGGTTGAAGAATTATCTGTGCGAGCCTGGTCGAATGAGAGCCACTATCTTTCTTATAATTATATAGCTCCCTGCGTGCAACACCACTGAGCCCCGGTGTGGTGCTCTTAATGGACCGGAAGTGACGTACCGTCCCCTCGGTCTCTCCTCTTTTCTCCGTCTTTCTCCGGCGCGCGGCTAGTCTCTTTCTCTGCCGAACAACCGGGGGTACCATACGCTACCAATTTATTTACGATTCTTCGCGACTGTTATGCAGACGCAGAACCGCGACATCGTTAACCGAGTAACCGTTACGCATTCGCGCGTGCCTCCTCTACTGCGACGCGACCGTTTTATGAATCATTTGCTGCCCTGATAGCACAGCCCCCCCCCTTCCCTCTTTAAATCTTAATCCGTCTCGGACGTATCGTTTTACCCTGTTCGGTGTACATTTTCACAGTCTGTGAAACTGGTCGCCGCGTTGCTCTCGTATCTGGCTCGCGCGCGATTGCGAGAAGGAAAACGAAGAAGAATACACAGCTGACCAGCTGGTAAGAGAAAAAAATTGAAACGGGGGGTAAAAATACTCTCTCTCTCTCTCTCTGGAGATCGATATCTCAGGGTGCAATGCCCCGTGTGTTTCTTACGTGTATGTAGATGGGCAGAACGCGACCCTCTTACGCAAGTCTCATGCACGCATAATAGCCGTATCAGACGCTTATGCACGAGAAGGTATTACGAAGTTACCTTGACTTCGATCTATTTCGTAATTGCCGCGCGGTGCGCGCGTAGCTGCTACTCGTTCATTCCGGAGATGCGCGTTCGATCGCCGTTAGTGCAGGCCTACCGTCGGCAACAAGTGTTCACAGAGACGTTCGCAGCGCACGTTACAGGAATTATTTGCAAATTCCACCTGACCAGGTTGCAACCGTTCCACGCACGTGCACAATGAATCCTGGGAAAAATAATGATATTACGCCATCCTTTCTATTTTATACCGACGATGTAAGTTGCAGCGTTATAAATAAAGGGGAAACTTATTTTTACACGCTTAGCAGATAGTTGAGAAAAGATCAAATTGATCGTTCTTAGCGTCGAGGAGTTAAACGTGGGAAAAGAAATTAGGAAATTTGGAAAAAAGGTGGAGAGAGAGAGAGAGAGTTGCCGGTTGTAATAATTCGCGTGAAAGAATTGGAATGATTTTCACGGGTACGCGTAGTTGCGCAAAACGGTTACCGCGATGCACGCACAATGGATTCTCGTTTTCTGATTTACGCGCAATTAGCCACGAGACACCTTGCCCTGTTACGCAACCGAGCGTTTCTGCGTATTACCTGCGAATCGTCCGCGCAACCAACGAGGAAAACATTTCGGAGCAACGTCGGCAAAAGGTAACCGAAGCGCTCCGTCCAGCTGTTTCCTTTCCTATTGTCCGGCTCGTTCCACCAGTTACATCGCTATCTACCGCGCCAGCACCGGTTACATAACCCTCCTAACCTAACTTCCCTTCGAGATAAAACAATCCTTTCCTCCCTTTCTCTGTTAATCGAGTAAAGGTGTATCGGATACGAGGACTGTGTCTATTTATGTACAGACGCGAGACAGGTAAATTAGCGGAAAATCGTGGAACAATGGGGCGAAGCTTATGGTACCGGGAGATCGTCTTTTCTGTACGCGTTACAGACGAAACAGACTGCTCCGGTGGCATGATTGAAAAAGTTCCAACGACCAACACAGCTAGCAAATTCGCTTCAATGGGAGAATAAAAGGATTGGTCGCGTGCACGACGAATGGAACAATTGTCTAAATTCGCGCGGTGACTGGCTATTGTTGAAATTGCCGACTTTTCGAAGCGGCACCTCCCAACACCGACGTTGCTCTTCGGCTGATAACAGATTGAAAATTGACCGGATGAAAGTGTATTTTTTCTCGGCCGAAACGGTCACGTGCAAGGTCTGTCTCGTCCCGCTCGTCGTATCATCCGATTTCTACGTTAGAAAAGGTGGGCCCGTGGGGATATGACCGAATGGGACCCGCGTTCCTTTCCTCGTGGACGCGTGGAAGTGAAGCGATGCCAAGACAGTGTCAGGAGTGTTGTTACACGCGGTTGGTGTTGGCCGTGTCGAGAGTAGTAGGAAATAGCAGTACCGCCACCACGAGGAATACTAGGTACTAGTGGTGCTGGCGGAAGAGGAGATGCAGGGAGGGCAAGTAGGAGGGACGATCGATATAGCGTGGGTGGATGTGCAGAGGTGCGGTAGGACAGCCGCCAGTTGTGCTGTCGGCTGCATCAGCGAAGAACACGGGTGCTCTGGATCGGCGCGGCGCGGCGGTTTCGCGGTGCGCACCTTTCGCCTTCTCCTTTGTCCTATTGTGGTCCAAGTGTGTGCGTGCCTCCCTACGCGTGTGTACCGAATGGTTCCGCGCTCCTTCGATGGGGATCCCCGCCGATAGCTGCTGCCAGTGCTCGTTGCTTCCTCCACGGTCCTCCTACGCCCTCGTTGAATTTTCGGGCGATGACGGTGCGGCGGTACAGCACACGCGACCGCCAGCGGATCGTGCCAGCACGAGATCGCGATCACGTCCTCTTCTCGACGTCCCGGAACTAGCGGAATCGCTGGCTGATCTTTGCACCTTGAACACCTTCTCTCGGCCAAAATGCGAGGATCGAGGGCTTCTCTGTCGATAATCGCGTTACCCTCTGCATACCTAGCAAGTTTAGGGAAATCGGTAGTCAAGCGGTAGATAACGAAAAATTGGAAATTTCAGTGTAGGAAACGAGATCGAGGTTTCGAAACGACGGACGCGCATAGTTGGGTGCAGCCGTAGGCTCCAGAAGTGAAAATAGAAACGAACCAGCATTCTACGAGCAGCGTAGCGACGCGCGTCTTCGTGGATACCAAAGATAGAAGCGAAAAGAAAGAAGTAGAGAAGAAAAAGAAACGAGTTCCCCGAGAACCATGACCTATCTCGATCCAACGGATCCAGCTCTGTACGAAGATCGCGCGACGTTAAAGGGAGTAAAGCCGGGTGGGTCCATTCGCGAATCCACTTCCGTTACATGCTCCCTCGCTCGAATTTCGGACGTTGAAAGTTCGTCGTGTAATAGGTGCAAATTGTGTAAATTGAGCCGGAGTGCTCGATCGTGGAGAGCGGAGCGGGTCGCCACGGAGGAAATCAATTGGTGGATCGCGTCGGTGTCGCGGTGAACACACTGGCCTACATGTCTGTTTATTGGCGGCTCGCTCGAGCTTTCTCGCCTTTCTCCCCCGACGACGCAGTCGCGGAAAAGGCAACCGCAGCCTTACGCGATGCCGCAATCCTACGCACCCTTTCTCTTCTTCCGTTCTTCCGTTCTCAAATTTTCCGGCCAATGGCGAAACAACGGAGAACCACGTTTCACCTCTGTAACCGTTCAAACAGTAGCGGTGGCATCAAACGGAGAGATTGGACGATGAATTAAACGGGAGAGGCTCGTTAAGCGGTTCAATTTTCTCCGAAGAATAGAGTATCAAAGGGGTAAAGATCGCAAGTGTTCCATTGAAACGGCTGATTTCACACGTCACACGGTTCACGTACACATTCCCAGAGAATCATCGGACAAAATTACCGTCGATTCCTACTTGTAACAGCCGCTCTACGTTACGCTGCCTGCTCCGAATTGAGAATCGATAACCTTGCAATTTATTTGTTTTAACGAGAAAATAAACGACACACGTGTATACGTATGCGTCTGGATAATTTCGTATCCGAGGAATTTCGCGTAGGTGTACGGCCAGGTATATCAGCCGACTGATAGACGGCGCGCGCGAGAACTCAGCCATGACCCATATACCGACCCTAGTCGCGTCACCGTTGGCCAACCCCATCGCAACTATGGCCTGCACCCCTTCTCGTGCCGCTCGTTAATCGAGACTCTTGGAAATGTCACCGCTCCAAATAACAAATTCACCTGGGAAAATTGCGAGACGCGCTTCAACCCCCGACGCGACAGAGGGTTGCGTTACAATTTGCCTGTAGACGGTTTCGGAATATTCTCGCTTTCTACACGATACCGATGAATTATGCACAAGCAGACTCGAGGAGCTTCTTGAGCTCGAAGAGACGCGAAAGAGAACAAAACTATGCCTATTCTGTACGCGACGTTAGACTTAAACTGTGCTATTTCAATTACAAAACTGTCCTTTATATGACACGCGCGCAAAGTTTCTCGTAATAATCCAACACTTTTTTTTTTTTTTTTTATGGGAAAATACGCGCATATATTTAGCCAGAGTGTATCGAACCTGTGGTTATTTCCAACGACAGGAAGGAAACACAGCGAGGCGATCGAAGGGTCGAAGGGAAAGGGCTCGTACACGGCTTTCTTATCGCGTACAGACAGCTGAATCTGTGGAAGCCGTACATCTAGCATACCGGTTCTAAACAGAATCGGATCGATGCAGCTCGTGTCTCTCTACACCTCTTGCACAACTAATTACCGACGGAATAATAGAAATCGGTCTCGTAAAAAAGGAAATCCGCGAGATAAATTGCGCATTAGGAGTTAATTAACCGTAGGAAAGGGGGTGTATTTTCTCGTGGCGACGCGTGGAACGAGTTAAACCCCTTGTTGATAGCAGAAAAGGGGCGGAGAGAAAGGCGATAGACAAGACGGAGTAAATAGGTCGAGGACTTTGTGGAAATGGGTCAGCTTCGACTGGTGCGGATCGATGAGAGCAGCTTACGCATTTCGTTACGGACCGATCTCTCTCTGTTTGTTTGCCGTCGAGACTGCCGGCAGAGCGAGGCGTAGGTGTCTCTGTAAAAGTGTACAACGACGTTCCTCTCTTTCCAAGTCCGGTCGGAAGAATGTTTTCTCGATCGCCTGAAATAACGGGTTGCGTGGACGTTCCGCGACAAACAGAGAAGAAAGGGGGATCTAGGAGAGAGGGGCGGGACGAGCGGGAGGGCGAGGAAGGAGGAAGGACGTGGGAGAGAAAGAAAGACAGCCGGCGGTAGTTGCAAAGATCTCCCGCCACGGTTCCGCTTAAAAATAAAGTCTTACGCCGTCGCGTCGTTCGAGAGTTGGTTCGCCGCGAAATCACAGCAGAGTTCTCTCGGTGTGACAGGATCGAGGAAATACTTGCACCGGTAGGGCGAGCATCGTCGAGTGAGAGGAGTGAGAAGAAGGGAGAATGGACAGCGATCGGGATCGGTAATTAAAGACGGTCCAGGTGTGAACAGTGATAGCAGAATCGGGGTGGAAGGAGTTGGCGAGACGCGTCCGATGTTGATATCGAGAGGCGTGGATTCGCGATCGCGGGCAAAATGACGACCACCCACGGAGGCCACGTCTATTACGTGATCAAGGTGCCCAAGGAGACGGATGGCAACGAGAGGTAATAACGGATAGGCGAAGAGCGGAGCACTTTGACAGCGTCAAAGAACGATTCGCATCAGAGAGTATCGCGTGCAAGCTAATGACGCGCGGAAGATCCGAGTTTCCAAAGGCGGGCGCACCGGGGCTCTTGAACTTGCACGCTGAGCTCACCGTATCGAAATACGAACGATCACGAGTCGGGCTGGATAGCGCGCAGAACCGAGCCTCGCCGAAAGCTACGATTACCAGGCTTGTTAATGCATATAGTCGTTAGAGATACATTGCTCGCAAGCAATTGCCCTAATGACGGTATACGCGATACAGGAAAATCAAATTGTACATAGGATAAAGGGAGAAAATTGGGAAAGAAGTGTGAAAAATTCATTGCTATTCCAGGATGGTAGATGGTGGAACGTTAGTTCGCCATCAGTGACCAACTTCTCGATAGGTACATAAATAACGCGACTGCTTCCTTGTTGGGACGTGAAAGGCTCGGTTTTGTCGCCGCGTAAATCGACGACTCCTCTGTTGTCGGCGCACGACGGCGGAACTGCGGACAAACGCGATGGAATGCAATCGACGGAGATTAATCGCAGCGGGAAAAGCGAGGGAATCGGCACTCGGTTTCGCAATATCGAACATTATTAGTCTGGTTGGCGGTGGTCCAACAGTTCCGAACGAGCCTACTAACCATTTCACCTCACTTTTCCGAACCAATTGCCTCCTCTTTTCCAACCCCCCCCCCCCTTTCCCATTCAATTCTCTCTTCCTTCTTTCTCTTCACCGCTCGTAGATAGTACTTGCGCGAAACGAAATGTTTTCCTTTGAACAACGCTAAAAGGCAGATTAGAACGCTGAAACGCGATTGCGTGTGCACTCGTTATACGTGCAGCAGCAGCGAGAAGGGGAAGGAAGATAGGCTGCAATTAGGTGCAATCCGATATCGTGGCCAATGTCACGGTTAACCAGAAGTGGCAATTATAATTAAGCCTAATTTACGGTAACCTTTCCGTCTCTCGGGTGTAAGAATACCTAATCTAACCTATATGCGTATAGCTTCCTTTTTTTTCCCCTCTTTCGAACGTTCCCTCTTTAACAGGCTAAATGAATTTTCAGCACGGACAGTGGTTGGGATAATCCCTTCAGACCAGACGGCGACCTTTCGAAGGAGGCCGACGAGATAGTGGAATTGATAAAAGGTGGGAAGCCTATCACTCCGACCCCAGGCCAGACAGCTCCGCCGTTGCCAGGATGCGACAATGTTAGCAACAACGCGCAGACCGCCGTCGACCACCACGACTCCAGTTCCAGTCCCTTGCTGAAATCCTCGGCGAACTCGACGACTCGACACGCGAACGCGTCGCCGAAACCCGGACAAGAAAATGGAAACGCCCATGGCACTCCGATGAAAGCTGCGACTGCCAACAGTCAGCAGCCTGTTAAGGAAAAGGTGAGGTGTATCTAGGATTTTTCTTACTCTTCCGAAACTTTCGATGTCTTTCGTCTTCTTCTTCCACGTACGTACATTTTAGGCGAATCTTTGAAATTCCACGTCTGACCTAGTATCCGAGAAAAGAAAGAAAAACTATCTTTGCACGCTTACACAGCTGGGATTAAGTCGTAGTGGTAAAGAGGGATTGCAACGTATACCCCGGCCAGAGTGACGCGAATGTCAGCTAATCGATTTGAAGGGCACTCGATGGAAAGAGTAACAAAACGTTCTTAAATCTGTACAGGTTGCCGCGTCGTCGAGAGCAGCTACCGTAGAAGTGGCTAGAATGACGGCGCAGGGACCGGGCGACGCTTCGCAGGTCGAACACGTCACCTTAAAGAAGAAACGTAAATGTAAATGTTGTCTTCTGCAGTAATGGCGAAGCGGAAGAAGAAGAAGAAGAAGAAGAAGAAGAAGAAGAAGAAGAAGAAGAAGAAGAAGAAGGAGAAGAAGAAGAAGAAGAAGGGGAAGAAGAAAAGGGAAGAAAAGAAGAAGGAGAAGAAGAAGCAATCGAGCGAGCGAGCAAGCTATACCATATGGATGTCTCGGCAGTCGAACGAGATTTCTCCGTCGTTTGGAGGATGCATCGTCGCCAACCGCGAAATGCTCGCAAACATGGTCGTGTGTGCCGTGGAAAACGTAATTCCTCCTGTCGCGTCCTATTCTACTAGGATCGAATTCTCCGGAGGAAGACGAAGAGAAACCGCGTGAACGTGTCCCGTTCTGTTTAACGAAAACAGGTTCGCGAATATTCCCCTACGGTGAACGATGCGAGCTGTTCGCGTCGATCGTCGAGAAGAAATCGCCTGGAAACCTCTGAAGATGTTCGCGAGCGTTGGTTATTGTCGATACGAATATGAAAAAAAAAAAAAAAAGGAATCCGGATACCGTATGGGTGTAACGACTAGTAACGACATCAAGCGGTATCCAATCGACGCGACGACAGTGCAAGATACCTGAATGCGCGTGAAAACACCGAGCCTCTTGATAGCCTTTCAGAGAAGACAGTGGAGTGTCTATAAGAGTAAACAGACTATATAAAAGGAGAACTGTCAAAATTATCGTGATTTCAAGAATGTGTCCGCGCGTCCGTTGCGCTAGGACGATGACGGTGAGAGCATGAAAAACAAGAGTCGCAGTTGCACAGAATGTTTAAAACAAACTTATCGAGTTTACCAGAATGCTATTACTTCGTTGGACATCGATATAATATTATTATGTAGATTCATAGACTCTCGTTTTTACTAAAGACAAAAGAAACAAAAAAAAAAAGGAAAAAAAGAAGAAGAAAAGCAGAAAGAAACTTCTATAGGGCAGAACTTTTACGAAATTTTTTAACATCGCATAGAATCTTGCGCGATTAAAAGTTTTCCGTACGATCGTGAGAGAGGTGCAACTCTGTAAAGAAAAAAAGAAAAAACTTGAGAAGCCGGCCGTATTTTCTTCTCGCGACTAATTGTAACCATGAGAACGCGTTAGAATTTTCTCTCTCGATTTGCGGAGAAGATAATCGTCACACTGTATATCGAACCGCTTTATACTTTCGACACACATCTTTTCCATTCAGTTGCCTGCCGTTCGTTTTTTTGTTTTTTCTTTTTCTATACACACCTCGCATGAAAGAAACGCAAAAAGGTATCGAAGAGATGAGAAACTTGTGTAATTAGGCGAGCTGGCGCTCGACAGTCCAAGCGCGTGAGTAACTATTCAGGATCGTCGTACGTGAAATGTGTAAATATCGCGAATATTTTTTGAAACAAATGTGTGTGATTGTCGGGCGATCCGAAGAGTGCGAGTACGCGTTACTACGAGGTCCGTTCGATTTTTTTGTTGCGAAATGAATGGACTCGACGACTGCTTGCTTTCCGTACTCTCGAAAAGCGTAACTTCTCGATTGCTGCAGCGGCACAAACTATGATAACGCGTCGAGGAGACAACAGAGGTGTAACACTCTCGTAAATGTCAGGGCGCACGAATGATCGTTTAGCGATTTCTTCTTTCCGTGAAACGTTCTTTCTTTTCTTTTTTTTCTTTCTTCGTTTTACTCGTTATTTTATTCATCCGACCACTGTGCGCACGTTACGAATGTGTAATTATTTATTTGCTCTTAATCGATTGTGAATTTGATTTCGAAGCTTTCACCCCGAACAGTTTTTAATTCTATTTAACATTGTATACGTGTACCTCGAAGCGAATCCTTTCGAAAGTGTACAGACGTTAGGAAAGACACGCGAGATTGAGGGATGCGAGGAGGAAGAAGATGGCGCGTTTGCGAGACGTATAATTATATAGAAATGTTTTGGTGTTCGTCGAAAAAAAGGAAAACCGTTGATCGGTTCCGTGCGTAATAATTATAATGTAAGATGAAAAGATGTTGGATCGCGTTTTTTCGCTGCACGAGAAGGACCGCTCGGTCCTCGAGCCGTCGTGTGTACAGAAAAAGAGAACGCAAGGATCCGCCCTGTATATCGAGCGGTGCTTGTCCGTTCCACCCTGTTGATGGCTGTACGTGTGTGCGTGGCTGCCTGCGTGTCTGCGCGAGTGCCTGTATTTTTTAATACACATATCCGCATATTTTTCCTAGATCGCCGGAGCAAAAGATATTTATGAAAAAGTGCTGCGATATCGGTGAAGGATGTTGATGGAGGAGAGTATTAAGCGAAAGAGAACAGATCGAGGAGGAGTAGGAGTGAGCGAGCGACACCGACACCAGAAGAATATAAGGTTTCCTTTATTTTCATTCATTGTACGCAGTTGCAATGTATCAGAGTGTAATATATAAAAGTTGTAAGTAATAGAAGATCCTGAATAATTTACTCGCGTCCTCGCAAATCGTAATCGGGAAATTATGTATTATCTCTGGAAAAATATACCTACACGTATAGACGCGTTTGCATACTCGCATGTACACGTACACGCACACGCGCACCGCTGCAACCTAGAGACACTTGAAGACGGTATCGTTTTTCCCTGAAAAATTCCTTCGATCGGTGAATCGTGGATAGAACGAGCATTTGTTTGAAAAGACCGCGAACAAAAGGATGAACATGCGTTGATAAATATCAACGCTATCGGAACTGAAATGTTTCCCTGTGCGCTTGCAGAATTTCTACGAGTGATGCGATCTGACGCAATTTAAACACATCGGAGTAACAAGCTAAATTCAACGCCGTATATATTTCTTTTTCTCCATACATGAACTCTCTTTTGAAAGAATGGCGGGAATCGAGCAGTCTCAGCGAAGAAACGGGTATCCATTACTGAGAGAGACAGAGAAAAACTTCGATAATGTTTCGGTCTGCGAGAGCCTTACCACGTTTCATCGAATACCTAAGTATATTTTGTACCGAGTGAAATCGAGCGTTGGAGATTATACGTAATGGAAAAAGGGAAGTAAGAAGGGTGCTGAAGTTACGAAGAATTAAAGCTATTATTTTACTAAGTGAAAATGTACGTGTGCACACAAATACACATACACACAAGCTAACTCGTACAAGATATAAGAGCGGTATCAAAGTTTTACCACTTTGCGCCCCTACACTATGCAGGTCATTTCTTAATATGTAAAAAGATACAACAACGCTACAGGGGTAGATTCAAAGCCTAACGCGACGCCAAGGTGTTCGATATCACGCGTTGGCCCTGAATTCGTTCTCTTTCATTCGGATTACAATCGTTTACGTTCGAGAGGAAAGAAAAAAAAAGGTTGAAAAGGAGGACCACTTTTAATTTAAACACAAATCTAAATTCAACACTGCCTGTGATATTGAAAACAATCTTGTTCTCGCATCGGTGAATCATTCTCAACTTCTCAATGGGTATTACGTAATAAGGAGTTAATAGCTGTCTGCTGCGTTAGAGTTTTATAATCCTTTTAGAACGTTAGACTCCGAATGTACGTTTAACGGAGTATGTATTTCTCTCTCGTTGCTCTCAGGCCCTGAACCTACCCTGAACGATACTTTATAGATATTAAAAAGAAAAAAAGACAAACCTAACCAGCCTGGATATCGACGAGTGCAAGCTCTGAGGTAATCTTTTCCGCGAAGTATTATCGATCGATCGGGGCGAGGCGAGGCGAGTCGAGCGTCGTCGAGTTGTACGAGAAAACGCGACGTCACCAACGAGTGGACTCCACCGAAAACTCTTAAACGTCTGTTCCCACGCAAAATGTTGATTTTGCTGAGCTTACAGATAACTGAGCGAATATTAAATGTCTTGTTAAGAAAAAAATGAAAGAAAAAAAGAGTAGAAAACGTCTCCCAAGAGATATTGAATCCCACCAAACCACTTCTTCCTGCCTTCTTCCCTCGTTCTCTCTCACTTGAAAGAATACCGATAAGATCTTGATGAAAGGCATCGACTCCACGGTTTTTTTTTTTACCTTTCATCTCCTTACGTAAAGACGACGTTGCATATTTAAGTTCGATGGTTTCACGACGGAGAGAAAACTCATCCTTAAGAGAGAGTATTCTACATCTCGGTGCAAGATGTCGTTAACGAAGGAACGAACGATCGCTCGAAATGTACGATGGCCGCGCGATCGTTCTTTCGATCCATCGATTCGTCATTTAAATCGAACGTATCGCGAAATAATAGACAGAGGTAGTACTTATGCACACGAAGATTCTAGAAGGCGTAGGAGTTGTTCGAAAAGTCAGATGTAAATCACGGGGGATAAATCCATCGTGAAAAGCCCACGCGGAGTATCGAGACTCCTACGATAACGTGTGTATACGCGAATTACGTGATAGCGCGGATGCTCGCGTCGTGCCTTTCTTCCAAGCGACAAAATCCTTTCTCTCCTCTTCGTCTGTTCGAGGCAACGATAGCCGTTCGATTATGAAATAGGTTGCATCGTGCGAACGATCGGTATCGTGTGGAATCGTAAATACGCTGTCGTCGAACATATCGAGTACGCGATCAGCAGGTTATCGAGGGTACGTTGGCCGAAATTCAAAGAATAAAAGGTACTTTCGAACCGTAGTACCTTTCGATCGAGCCCTGGCGGTTCGCCAATGATCGACACCGTGGTTATACGAAAGGATAACGACCCTTCTTCGATATACACGTACATATGTCTACCTTTCTACATACGCTGCTGCTGTTGCCTAACAGTGTATGTCGATACAAGTTCAATCTAGACTCGGTAGAGTGTGCTTCAGTCAGCTAGACAGAACGAAGAAGTCGATTAAAGGAGGAGAGATGCAGGCCAGACATGATTTAAGACCAGGTGACGGTTCGTAAGTTGAACACACGACGTCACATTCAAGAAGAGGCATAAATGTAAATGTTATTTTCCGTAGTACTAGAAAGAGAGAAGAAAGCAAACTACCTTATGCAGCTCAGGCTTAGGAACTTTTTCTATGCTTGGTTGAACACGAGCTTATCGAGCACGTCGATAGTTGAGGTTAAATGGAAAGAGAACCTGAATAACAACTGGAGTGTAAGCTTGGTAGGATCGATTGAAAGAAAGGGTTTAGAGGAGAGAGAGAGAGAGAGAGAGAGAGAGAGAAAGAGAGAAAGAGAGACTCGATTCAGGCCAGACACGAGTCTGACGATCTTTGAACCCGGTTCAGCATAGGATCGATTGAAAGAAAGGGTTTAGAGGAGAGAGAGAGAGAGAGAGAGAGAGAGAGAAAGAGAGACTCGATTCAGGCCAGACACGAGTCTGACGATCTTTGAACCCGGTTCAGCTGCGATCGAGGATTGAGATCGGTCGCAAACGGAACATTGATCGTTAATCGGCTACTGGGCACACGGTATGTAATGGGTTTGGTGCGAAAGGACAGAATAAAAGGGTAAAATGTCAGCGCGACTCTGTTACTACCTACGAAAGAGCAAACGCATCCTATTTGCCCGTGTGCCCTTAAAAGAGCGAAATCTCATCCATCGTAACGACGTTGGCCTTTGAATCGCGTGCCAAACGGATGGCGATAAATCCAACCGTCTCCGCTGTGCACGGGAGAAAATAATCGTGAAACGAATACGTGTCTCTCGAGAGCAATTCATCGAGCACGTTGAACACACACCACGCGTATTCATACGAGATGCGCAACGACAGAATCATTCGATTCTCTAAAGATGGTGCATTCTTTTAATTGAACCTTCCGTGGGATTTCTCTCCTATCCTTCTGTTATTATGCTGCACTAGCAGACAGGTGTCGAGACTGCACGTTATCGCTATTCGATAATTCATTTCCTTTACACCACGAGACACACTGCGAGTACTTGCTTATTCCGCAAAATACAATCTTGTTTACCGTATGTTTATTCTTTGCTCTTCGACTTGCTTCATCTCTGTCACTTTTTTATCGCTTTAAACTGTCCATTAAATAGCTACAACTATATACTATTAACTGTTCGAATTAATTGTAATTGTAATTAAACCAGTAATTAAAGTAGTATTTAAAAATTTAGATCTTGAGGAAATCTACAAGTATGTATACATACATATGTGTATATGTATACATATAATAGTCGTAAAATTTTTATTCGACAAAACTTTTGGTATAGCTTGTACGAACGACGGTACAAACCAAAGAATTCTATTGAGAAACGCAGAAACCGTCCACCGGTTACAAAGGAATAATGCAATTACAATGGTTTCGGCAGTGTTACAAAAATGATAAAAACAATTGCATTTCCGTGACTTCATTGTTGCGGTCCGACACAATAGAAAGCATTAGGGAGGTAAAAAGTGTGATTTAAGCGATCCCCTGTGAGCATCGGTCGTATCAGAGGGGGGAAAAAAGCACTGTCGTCCTTGCACAGAGCTAGTGCCGGGTATATAAAAGCTGGCAGAGTGAACGAGCGCAGATGTTAGTGGCTTCTGAAATCCAGCGATATCGTCGCGAGTGCCGTCAAGGGATGCCATTTAAAGTGTCAGTGTGACCGATCTCTGGCGACGATGACCTCCTGTAAAATTGTGCCACGATCGCTGGTATGTTTTCAATTCGATCTCCAAATAACCGTGACATAATTCGAAATCATTTGACGACGAAGCGGTACAGTTCAGAGCAGATTTCTTCGCGATCACATTTTCTTTTTCTCGAGCAGGGTGTAAAAAAAACAGATATCGTATCGGAAGATGTTTCGATTGAAGAATCGTTTGTAGACTAGGAGAATCGGTTGAATAGAAAGTGTCCTTTCGATACACAGTTGCACGTGTGTCGACGTAATACGAAAGATCGTTAGATCACACTTTTACCATACGTTCCCAGCGGTCGAGGGGTCAGCACGCGAGCCGAGTCGAATTCACTTCAGGCGAACGGACAGATGCGACTAATTTTCGCAAGACGTGCGCGTACTGTCACCTGCAAATAAATCTCCATGTTATCGCGGCTCTTGTAACAACACATACATGTATGGAAAGTCACACTGAAACTTAGTTTTCACTCGTCGTCACCTTTTACCCCTTTTATCTCTCTCTCTCTCTCTCTCTTTCATCGTTTCCCGCATGACTTGCCCAGATACTCTGGCTAGTGATTGTCGGCAGCACGTGTCGCTGCACCGGCGAAAAGTTGTCGCCGGATCAAAAAGCGCCTCCGTTTGCTCGCGGTTCCGGTGGATTGAACCTGAACACGCCATTCGAGGACAATAAAGCCAGGAATCGTCCAATCTCGGGCGGGAATCCTCAGGTGGACGACGTGCAGAAAGAAGAAACGGAAATGCTGAAAGAGGTGGACGGTGAGCTAGTGAGAACCGTAAAAGGAAGCTTCTCTTACAAAAGTCCCGAAGGTCTTCCCATCTCCGTCAAGTGAGCGACAACTTTTTCCTAGTACGTGGTCCTTCACTTGTCCTATTCACACTTCACTTTCATATCATTTTGAAGGTACGAAGCCGATGAGAACGGAAATAGAGCCAGCTTCAAGTTCGGTAGTGGTGGTGGAACTGGTAACGGTTTGCCGCCCTCCGGTCGCCCCTCTGGACCGAGAGGAGGAGGAGGAGGAGGAGGAGGTGGAGATCCAGGCGGTCGTGGCGGTCAAACTGATAAAGATTCAAAAGGATCGAAAAGTAGCTCGTATTTACCGCCAAATGGCGTCGATAGAAGCTACCTACCGCCGCAATAAGGCCACCGCGATTTCTTCCAGCCAAACTCAACTTGACGAACTTTCGATGACGCGACATTTTGGAAAAATTTTCCCGCTACACTCGTAATTCGAAAGGTACGACATTCCATCCGTCGCATTCTTCAATCGACGCAACGAAGAACGAAGATGTGTCTTTTGGTACAGTTCAATGATCCCGAGGACAATTTCAATTCAGCTTTTAGAAAAGTGACTATTAACGCGTTACACAAATGTTGCCCTTTCTTCGAAGGAACTGTTCAGCATTCGAGTAATCGCAAAGTAGTTGGCAATACTAATTGATTCGCTAGTGAACACATCAACTTTTATAAAGTAAGAAATAAAATATATTTTTTCACAGATGCTGCTATTACAATTCACAACCCTACCGATCATCATATACCTCCACTCTTCTTAAGCGGCCCGCACACGATCAATTTTATTGATCAATCGAGTTTGACGATAATATTGAGAATCAAAGTATTTACAAAGTCTTCGATCTTGAGATCAATTTTTCTTTCAATATCAACCGCACGCAATCAATAGTACTATCAATATTTGTCGGTATTGACAATACTATTGATCATGTACGAACCGCTTTAGCAATTTTTCAACACATATATACACACACGCACACGCACACATACAAACATTAAAACCATTTTCTCGAAACCGTGATTATTACACTTTTAATATATCCGTCTTCGTCTCATTCCGCACATCGAAACGTATTAGTGAATATGACGACTGTATTGGTTCTTGTATCCGCTTTGAATCGTAAAAAATGTTTATTCTTACGATATTTAATGTTTTTACAAACAAACAAAATATTTGGTAAACATAATGAATTGGCTAGTGTTCATCTTTCGGAACCACGATAAGTGGTATAACCAAATGGGCTTAGCAGCACCGGTATATGATAGTGACCGGCTGGATTTTTTACATCAAACACTATCTCGATAAATGGATACATTGTTTCTATTCTTCTCAATGTAAAATATTTATCAACGTCAAAATGAATCTTGTAACGTCCAGCCGTAAAATTAACCTTCATATTATCAACTAAATCTACGCACCGACCATTTGCACTCGTATTGCTAGAAAAGAAAGGTTATCGTCGATATTGTAGGTATTATCGGTGATATAAGCACAAAAAATATTGCACTGAGATTTACCTTTCGTTTAAAAAGGTCCACCGACCGTCCATTAATTTATAAAGACTAACTTGCAAACCACCAACTGGTAAACCTTTACTTGTATCCACAACATGAGTAGAAATACGAGGCTTTTTGATTGAAGGGTACTTTACAGTCTTCAAAAGTACATGCTGGAACAAAGTCATGATTAATAATCATTCTGAACAAAATTTTACTCAGGTACAACTACAAGTCAACGTACTTTTTTCGGACTTTGATAACTAGTACTTGCTACAGCCAATTGATCCTTATTTATCTGAACGCCTTTCGTAGCGTCCTGTGCTTGATTAGCTGCAATTGCAGGTTTCTGATCAGCCACTACCAACGTAGGAAATTTACCCTTTAATTTACTCAGAACATACTGAGCACCAGGCTGGAATGTACCACCTGTTAAAGTCAGAGTTTTTCCGCCCGTCGTTAAAGTAATTGTTCTATTTTGTGCAGGAGCGATGGGAATTGTATTCACAGGCTGAAGCACACCAATAGTATTAGAAGTAGGTGCAACTGAAGAATTTATTTGATAGGTTGTTCCTAAAATAGGCAATGGGCATGCCATCACTATACCAGATTCCCCTTGTTCTTTACACTCATCTTGCTAAAACATCATAAAAAATTGCAATGTAAATTGTTACTTTTAGTCAATGACGCTATATCTTTATTTTGCTCATATATATGTACAATATCTACCAATAATTTTACAGATTTTCTGTCCAATTTACTATCGTTTCGTCTAGACGCTCTCCCATTTTCGCGCGATTCTTTCGGCGATTCTTTGTCGGTGTATTCTGAATCAGGAAGAATCGACATAACTTGCATTTCCTGATTACTTTGTTCCTCTGACTCTACTACCATTTCCATCTGTACTGCTTCTTGATTATCCGTGTCTTCTAAATATTCACTCTGCATATGATCCATTGCTTCGGTCAAAGAATCCTGGCAACTATCCTGTAAATTAATGTCATTAATATTATACATTATTGAATTAAATTAAAAATTTATTAATCATTTATTAAACAACAACTATTATTACCAGTCTTTCTATCTTGACTTTTTTTATAGAATGTTTCATATCTTCTTCGTCAGAAGGTATTTGCATATGTGCTACATCTACCTCTACCTCTTCCTCCTCCTCCTCCTCCTCCTCTTCTTCTTCTTCTTCTTCTTCTTCTTCTTCTTCAACTTCACAACCAACATCTTCTTTAATTTCTTTTTCATCCAATTCATCGTCTGTTTCTAATCTTTCAACAACATATTCCACTTCGTCTTCATTTTCTTCTACTTCAGTTTGAACATGTTCAACAGCCTAATATAAAATTCTTTGATCAATTTCTATTGAAAATTCAAATGACATTGAAAATTTTAGTTACAAATGGAAAAATGTAAACCTCAATCTCGTCGACTTCCTCAACTTCAACGTCTTCTCCCACACACGTTTTTACAGCTGTAACCTTCTTTTTTTCTTCCGCTTGATGCAACAAGGCTGATCGCTGGTGCTTCATAGTGCACGTGTGTTTCAGCAACGAAAGTCGATGTGCATGAAGATTTTTCTTGCAATACATACAATAAGCACGTGTCGGTTGAAAAGGTACAGATGTCAACCATCCTGTGGACAAACATTCTATCAAGTATTTATTTGTTTACAATTTCGCACACGTTGTTTCCTCTCGCGAACAGCTGCGGCAGAATGTCCCGAAATTCGTCGTTTCACTAAATACATTTTAACCGTATGGTGATATCTACTCAAACGTTGAATTACCCAGTAGCACTTTTACTGGTAACTTATTAACGCTAGTAATATGGTTACACATACAACAGTGTTCAGTAATGTCATGTACGCTGAACGCGAAAGATGGGATCTTTCCAATTTCTATGTAAACAGATCGCATAACGTTCGAAATGAAAAAGAGTACGATCCATCCATCGTTTAAGTGCCAACAATTAGACTACATCAAATACAACAAATATTTACAAGTATACCGATAACGTGTATTCAAAGTAATGGTAAACGATAGTATTATGCAGTTTCAAGTGTATCTGAATGAAAAAATAAAACAGAAGTTTAAAAAAATAGGATACTGAAACTAATTGCAAACGCTTAAAGCGATGAAAGATATCCGCCGATTATTGAATAAACAAGGGGAAAGAACAATCAATGTTACGCGACAACGACAACGATTCCCTCTAAAAATAATTTACTTTTATTAATCGAAAGCGTCACTGCCTAAGGCCGTGACGAAGCGTAGCAGCCACGACTATTGTATACATATGTGTGTATCCAGCGTGGCACAGTACATCATGTTTTAGTGCTCACAAAGGCGCAATTTCGTTTGTCCTATGAGCCTCTTTAGAAGCAGCAATGAACAATAACGGGAAGTACCTTGAAAGTCGGGCATTTGTTCCCATTCTTTGCGGTATCGTTGTGTGTAGACACGCGTCTTAGCATGGCTGATTTTCCCCGTTGGGGTAAGACGCTGACCTGTCGGCGTTAGAAGATTGGCATGTAACACCGTCGGGTTGGTCGTTATCATCGACGGCTGCCTCTTCTTCTCCATTCCTTCCGAACGAGGAACGATTCGAAATCACCCGGATCTCAAAATACCCAAAATCGTAACACAAAATCACTAAATAGTTTTTTCCACGATGAAAGGGGGAGGGGGCATGTGGCGAGCACCGAGATCCTCGCCTAGCCTAGTACCGAAGTTAACTCCCTAGCAATGGCGGACAACTGCAACGCCTGCAACCATGTAACCCCCTAACCCCCTCTGCTCGCCGTCGTCCAGCTGCCAACGACGCAACTTACACTACCGTATCAAAAATTACTTGCACCCCATTCTCTTACTTCTACGTTCTCCCATAAAAATTCGATTTTACATCTTCCAATATTTTTTTAATCATCCTTCCTAATATATTTTCAAACTTTATTTCTTTTTAATTATATATACATGCTTGTAAGATTAAAATAATTCACTTGACTAATTCTAATTACAATATTGGTATTTCTCTCTATGAGGGTATTAGTTGTATGAATTGAATCAGCAACGAATTTAAAATGTTTCTCATTTATTGCGTTTATAGGTAATAATTTCAATACGTAGAAATTTTCATAATATTTAATTTTCAAATTATTCGATAGTTACATTTCTCCATATATCTTTGACCGATTATACGCATCAAATATGTAATCGTATTACTGATTTTATCATATGTAATCTTGCTACTCCATGAAGCATGATATTATTTGTGTATATCCTATCTACGATACTGTTTTCAGTGAAACGTATGGAACTATTGGTTGAATCGATATGCGTGCGCATACCAATGGATATTCCATATTAGCCGGGAAATATATTAATTGGTTATATACAAAGAAGTACAAAATTCTTTACATTAAGAATGAAATACAAAATATTTGTCACCTAATTGTAGTGCAGATTATATGATTTTAAATTAAATATTATAAGATTAAATAAAAAACAATACTCTATCTTATTTTAGGATATTAAGCGCCATCTAAATGGCCCTGAACTAATGAATCAATAATAGCGCCCTCTTTATGAGAGAAAAGCAAATTAAGACTATCTAAATTAGGGGAAACCTTTGAAATAGTTTAAATTGTGAAACTTCTGAAAGCGTACAAAATAATACGAATAAATTTTCATATATTTATGTAATTAATTGTATTTTCTATCTAGCCTAATATAAAATGAATTATGATTAATTCAAATTACAATGAATTTTAAATGGAAAATTGTAAAACATATTCATATCTGCCATGTCCCTTTTGTTGCTACGTTTGTTATATTTAAGGCGTATACTACTAATAAAAAGATTAGCATATAGTAAAATCTTACATTTACTTAATATACAAAAGAAGTTAAATGAAAATAGATAAATTTATTTTCGCACAAAGATTATTGATATATTCCATGTACGTTTTAATTACGCGTTTTTAAAACATATTACAGTAGTATAATTTTCTTTTTCTTTAAAGGAGAAATCATTGTTTCTAGATTTTCGTTAGGGAAGAATATTTACCTTTATAGAGTTATATTCGTTAAAAACCTAAACATTGATGAACACAATGTCACTAGCTGAAAAAATAATGATATTACCAAAGCAATTTTCATATGATAACGATTTAAAATTTTCTGTAAATATCACAAATAGTTTCCTCTATATTTTCATATTAGAAACTTAATGATGTTTATGTTGTTATTTTATATAGTTATTATGCATATATGAGTTATTATGTGTACACACACACACGCACACACACACAAATTCAAACATGATAAACAATGAATACTAAACAAATATAAACTGAAAATGTGACAGATACCAATATAATCTACAAATAAAAAAATATGAAAGTTTAGTTACATTTTGCATTAGAAATACAACTTAGAGCAAACTTAAAAAATAAACAAACTTTGTGCATGTTTTCGGAGGTTTAAGAAATTGTAAGCATTCACAGGATATTGTGTCCAAGAAAACGCAAATTGTAATTTATAATTTCACAAATGAAACGGTGTTCGTATGAATTTATTCTTGTACATGTAATTAAACATATTTGACATAATGTTGACAGAATAGAAATTTACTAATTAAGTGAAACTAGCCTTAATTACCTTGTAACGTCGGGTGTAAATATGTGGAATGTTTTCTAAACAAACGTCCGTTCAACAAGTTGTTTCTGTCTCAAAAAAATGAAACAAATGAAATATAAAGTAGAAGCTTTTATTGTACCCGTGAGAAATGATTATAACGTTACATCTAAGGCAATTGATGTACAAATAATAAATGATGTTAAGAATGTTAGTATTGAAAAAAGTAAATCCAATTATATCGAAAATAATAAAAATGATTCCCTTTCCATGGATGAAGAAAGTATGCAAAACTTAGAAAATTGTACAGCAATTGAAAAGATTGTTAGAAGAACTGATGTTGACATAAACAATTCCAACAAAGATACATCCATTAGTTTTTATTCCTCTCTTGACATTTCTAAAATAAAATGTGAAGAATTATTCAATGACAATGATAAAAGTTCTTTTTCAAGTGTGTCTCACAGGATTCATAATTTAGCCCCTATTAAAGAAAAAAGTGAAGATGGTGAAGATAAATGTACAGACTTGTGTTATCATGGATGTAAAAATGGATGTTCAGCAACTGTGCCAGCACCACAACAAGTTAGTGAAAAAGTATTTAAAGAAAATTGGTTACAGAAATTACAGGAAATAAAGAGAAGAGAATTAAAATTAAGAAATAAAGAGATTATTTTACAAAATCGTGAAAAAGCATTGCTTAAGAAAGAAAGAGAAATAAAAATCTTAGAAAGTGTTTTAAGAGATAAATTGAAACAAATAGATTCACATTTTAAAGAAAACAAACACTTTGATTTGTTTAAAATAGACACTCCAGAGACACAAAAAGATATTTTAGAACCATTAATTTATGTTGATCCTAAAGGAATACATAAAGAAAAATCAGATACAAATGACAATCTGAACAGGAAGTTGGATAATGTAGAAGTTAATAAATTGTATGTACCTACAGAAAATAATCAAGTTTCATCTCATAATCAAACTGAACAACTACATAAACATACAAATGACATACAAAACTTTATACATACAGATATACAATACAAAGATTTATATCAAGAAAAAACAAGTATTGAGAGTTCTTGCTCTTCTGTTGATAATCTACCTGTAGGAAAAAAAATAAAACAGCGATCAAATATAAGAAATTCTACAACTTCAAAGACTTTTTATCTCAAATCTACTTGTGATAATAATAATAAAACAAGAAAACCTTGTAAAATATACTACGATGATTTAGATACTACATTATCTGCTGATATTGGAGATTCATCATTTGTACAAACTTCTCAAAAATTTAATCCTGAATTATATAAAAGACCTTGTGCATTTAAAAGATCAGCTAGTGAACGTCATGTGAAATATATCAACAATGAAAACAATGCAAATCTTGAAGCTCAACATGTAAGTAATCATAATGAAGAGTTTCAAACACCAATTGGAATAGAACAAGAGAAAGTATTCAAAAGAGTTACTAAAAACATTTCTGTTTCACAAGATAAGGATACAAAGTTTCAACACTATGGTCTCATAGATCAAAATGTAGGTACTGTAAATAATATATGTAAAGTGGAAAATGAAAAAAGGTATTCATATCTTAATTTAGAAACAAGCAATAAATTGTGCTCTTGTCAAAAAATTACTAAAGATCTAAAAAACCGGCCAGTCTCTTGGAATGAGCAGACAAATGAATGGCTTCAAAAGAAACGGAAGGCTTATAGTATGACAATAAAAAAAGTACATATAGGCAATAAAGAAAACATTGAACTTCATGCCAAAACTAATGACAAATTTGAAAAAGTTGTAAAAAAAAGGGATATGAAAAATAAGCTGCTCACAATATTTCGCTAATATTATAATTGTATATTAATCATTTGAAAAGAGAACTTATTTGTATCAATATTTTTGATATGTATGAAATAATATTATACTATTTTACTACATTAAAAATAAATTCATAGTTTACATAATTGAAATATATATTACCTTTGTAATTGATTTCACAAGTTTATTTTATTTAAGTTACATGTATATATAAGAAAATTATGTTCTGTACTTTGTTATACAACTAATACATGAAACATAAATTATGGCCAAGATGGAGGTTCTCCAGGTTGTAATTCTCTCCCATATAAAGCTGATTTATCCCGAAATCTTGTCATCCTCAAGGTAATTTTTTTATCAAGCTGCTTCCCAATATACCATGCAGATGGTCCAAGAATGAGAACTAAAGCATATTGCAGTGGAAGTGACTTTATTTTTGCCATTTTAATAAGATAATTTCAAGTTTGTTTCTTCAGCTAATTTTTTTTTCCACAATCGAGTATGATTCCAATCTGCATAAATAGTAAGTGCAGATAAAGTAGGAAAAGTACCCACTGCCCAATACTGTTTTATAAATCTTGCTATATTTCCCAGACCCATCAAACTAAAACAGAAATATTGAAACTCTCGTTTTAACCTTTGACAACAAAATATACTTATGTTAATAATATATCACATAAACTTGTTAAAAATTCACATAAAAGGAACAGTTTTTGTAAAAGATCTAACAAGTAAAATTATCAAGGTTATGTATCGTATATGATGAAAATACAATTAATTTTTACTATTTAAATTGCCTTCAAAGTTAAATAAATAAATATATCGTATTAGATTATACAATGTTTACCAAAATTATTAAGTTCAAATCTTTCTCCCGTAAAAGCTGAGAATCTTCCTACGCGACACACATTATATATAATGTGACGTAACGCCGAAGAATGCGTCTTGCTTGAATGAAATAAGTCTCCTCAGTGTGTTACTAGAAAGCGAAGTAACTGATAAATTTTTATGAAAAGCATTTACAATTAATACAATGAAACAGCAAGAGATATATAATTCATACATATGAAATTAATTTTGTGATGTTCGCTATTTCTTAATATGAATAATATTTAAGGTACCTTTTTTTTGATATTACTTTACTAAAGCAACAAATCCCGCGGGAAATTTTGAAATCTACAAATTAATATGGATAGCACCAATCTGACACAAGTGTAGATAAAATATTTCATTCAAAGAAAATAATACGTATCTTTGATATAGCTATATCATTTCTAATTAAAATATCAATAAATTGATTTTTCAACTAATATAACTGAATTAAAAACAAGTCGTTATTTCTATTTTAATTTAAATAGTATACAAGTTTTATGTACTGAATGTTATTTAAACAGAAATACAAAATTATCGATATTTTAAACCCTCTTTATTATTTCGAACAATATTGTCTATAGTAATAAACATCGCCATATCATTGCGATGGTTTCTAATTTAGTTAAATTAATAAAATAATGTTTTTTAAAAGATATTGATTACTATTGCGGTACAATATAGTAAAATGTTGCGGTTCCATTTTAGTAACTGCAAATGCTCCGATCAGTACCATGCTGTTCATAATATATTTAAATTAAAATTTTTGATGAATTAAATAAAAAATTAATCAAAGTGGAATAACTAGTAGGA